AGCCCATGTGACCTGCCGTGGGTATCCGGGGTCGTACCCCCCACAGTGTTCCAACCACGCTCGTGCCAAATCGGCTAAGAACAGTGGAAGGTTGCGGATAATGAAGTCATCATTATCTGCACCACCAGCATGGCAGGCAAGCCGATAGCCTTCGAGCCAAAGTCTGGGGTTTGTCTCCCCAGAGTACTTAGGGATATTGGTAGGTGGTCAGTACCTTAGCGGGAAAGCAGCGTTGAGTATGTGTCGGCCGAAGGCCTAGGGGCCTGGCAGGCCGAGGCTTAGGCTCCGGTCCTCGCCGCTGTCATAGCGCCCGCTGCGACGAGGATGATAGCCACAGTGGGCTCCTTCTCTCGGGTCGCTATAGGTGCATCTACGGGCGTCGAGAGTGCTGCGTGCGTCACGGTTGTGGCTAAGGCACTGATGCACCAGGACCGCGGCGCGCTGCCTGCCGCCTTGTGGCACCTGATGGACTAACGCGTCCCTGGTGGGGCGTGCCGAGGTTGTGCGCTGGCTGGCGTCGAGCTCGCGTCATCGAGATAGTGAGCTCTCAGCCTGCTGTGCCGCCGCACGCTCGAGTGGCGTGCGAATCTCGTGGTGGGCCTGACGATCCTCGTGCGTCGTGGCCTCTGGAAGGCCATGGAGCAAAGCCGTTGCGGCGGTGATGTTCTGGCTCACCCGGGCGAAGCAAGGAAGTGTTTCATCGTCGGTGATGATCCTTCAGTTTACATCATGGGCCATGGCGCGTGCGCACCCATCATCTCCGCGGCGTTCAATCTCCCGATCGACCTCCACGTATTCCCGCATAAGCTGGATTCTAGCTTCCTCGATCTCCGCTTTTGGGCTTTTAGCTACTCCACCCCTACGCGAGATGGGGCCACTGTCTCCCCTTCGGTTTCACCGCCGAGGTTGCCCGCCAGGGTAGCCTCCTCCGTGGAGATGCTTTCGACGTACCCCTCGGCGGTACCCGTCATGAAGCATTCCCGGGAGGGGTGATGGCTCGCCCTGCTAGAGTCAGAGCTAGAGGATGACCCCGGCTCCTCTATGAGGAGGATGTGGAGAGATTCCGTGATGTGTTCGATCACCCCCACAAACTCATTGTTCACGGGCGGTAGGATCGTGTGTCATGCCACAAGGTGGCTAATGGTCGTCGTAGTGTTGCGGAGACCGAACAGAAATGCTGTCGGGGCGCTCCGTATGTGGTGTTTCAGAGAGAGGGATCCTCCTCTAGAAAACCACGCCATGTCATTGGCGTCGGAGAGGGTGAGGCAGCGCCGGTCCTCCCTGGACTACTAGGGTCCAAGGGAGACACCGAGATGGCGCTCAAGCCTCTCGTTGTTGAGGCCGATGGAGGGGAGAGATTGGATGGCGGCGTACGCCAACGCCAACTCTCCTCCCATCGTGATGATGAAGTCTAGGTTCCTAAGGTGCACGTGTGCACCTAGGACCCAGCTGATGCCGTGGCTAGGCATCCGTGGCCTGATGTGGAATGCGCAAAGGTCCCCTACCTGGCACGCCAACTGTCGGTGTTTCGAATAAACACCAACTAGTAAATTTGTATTTGTTGCGTGTTAGGCCCGGATGGTGTACTAAAGGACACAAGGTTTATACTAGTTCGGGCAGAATGTCCCTACATCCATTTTGCTGCTACTCGTGTTATTAGTACTGAAAATGATTCGTAGTAGGGGGTATAAATAGTCGAGAGAGGGACAGGTTTCAAGTCTCTGATGGAAAGGTCAAAAGGAATGCCAAGAGCTCGGTTGCCGCTTGGTTGTGTGTTGTGTAATGTGTCATGTATGAAATCGATCCATCCCCTTAGTGGGGTGCCCTGTCCTCCCTTTTATAGACCAAGGGGGAGCAGGGATTACATATGGGAGAAAGAGGAAAAAACCAGAGGTAGAGAAGATCCTTCGAAGGTGCCGGGTCTTCCTTTTCCCTTGAGCCTACCCTGTTGATATGGTAGATGGTGCTAGGGATAGCATGTTTGTTGATCCCGATAGGGCCATGCTCTGGCTTCGGTCAGCCAGTGGTCATGTCCCATCCTACTCCGGTGGTCGATGCGACGCGCCAGGGTACCGAGTCGTGACCCTATGGGGAGCAAACGGGGAAGTGACCATATGTTCGTTGTTGTTAATGATGTGAGTTCCCTCCTAGACTGTAGTGGTTGTCGTATACTTGTGTTAGGATCCACGCCCGAGGGCTGATGGTGGCACCCACAACACTATAGGATACAAAAGTCGACGCCTACAATACTATTTGGGCTCTGTCATGCCTGGGAGGGCTTAAAGTGCCCGTCCCATCATATCCTAACGGTACTTTTCTGCAGGCGCGCAGGCATGGTCCTTGCTACTGCGGTTGACCTAAGTGTCATGTCTTACCATGTGCTCATCATTATGAAGGGGTAGGGTGTAGACGTCGAGCGAGGCGGAGCCAGCCCTCAGACATCGGGCGAGGCGGAGCCAACCCTCAGCCGTCGAGCGAGGCGGAGCCAGCCGTCAGACATCGGGAGAGGCGGAGCTAGCCCTCAGACGTCGGGCGAGGCGAAGCCAGTCCCCGGTTGTATGGGCAAGAAGTGTAGTTGTGTTCTTGCCTGTTTGGAAGCATCAGGTTTGATGGTTATTAGTTCAACCTCTTTGGGTACCCCAGTAATCGGTCCCCGATAGTACGAAGGACAACTTGCCGAGCATTCACAGAGCGTGTGGGGGTCTGCAATATATTTAATTGTTACACACCAAATAAACTATACATGACTTCATATGATACAAAATAATTATTACACAACATCAATTTCCCACCATCTTGTTAATGCGGCGCTGACGAAGTGTAGGTTCAAAGGCAAAATTGGCACACATCCAATACCTCTGCCTATATGTGTCATCTTCATCGGACTTCACAACCTTGCAAGGATCACCGTAAAAGCACATGGGCACTAGAACACCACTAGGCAGAGGCAATGGGTCGAAGGCATTTCGATCATCAGGCCATAACTATAAATGAACCAATTTCGTTCTAAGAACCAAAAGCAATGCCCATTAAACCATAAATCTAGGGTTTTTCATTTGTTGCACATAAATGAACCAATAATATAACACGATTGACAGAGATTACCTTGGTTTACTAGCTTTACCACGCCTTAGCATCCTACCGTTACATAATACAAAAAAAAAAAAATCACTTCAAACAATAAGTACTAACATATTTAGTGTTGCAAAATATACGTAATATATACCAAACCAATGCGTAAAACTGAGGAACGGAGAGAACATACCTTGCTCTCGAAGATCTATAGATCAAATCCAACTTTCCAAGGTCAAATTGCTTGATTCAAGAGTTTGGACAATTTGGAGAGAGCAAAAACCCGAGAACAAGGAGGAAGAAATGAAGAGCCTCGGCCAAGGAAACCTTGGCGTGGTTTTTGAATCCGAGCTTGGCACCATGGATCTTGGCTCTGAGGTCGGTGTCGAGATCCATGGCTCCAAGGTCGGCGCCAAGATCTGTGGCTCCGACCTCGGCGCCAGGGTCCGTGGCGCCGACCTACCTGCCACGTCAGCGCCACTTGGATGCCCCGTTTTGCTCGGCCAGGCATCGGCACCGAGATGTGTTACATCGGCGTCGTAGGCAACAGCGCTGACCCCCAAGGTCCAAAGATCAGTCTACTTCGTCCAGGGGTTAAACGTAAATTTTTTTAAAAAAGAGACTAAATTATAAAAAATTAGGTAGAAATAAAGGAAAGTTTTACTTTTACCTCGTTCGCGGCCGGTGAATAAACGAAAGTTATTTCTATCTACAAATAATGCCGAAAAATTGGGAGCGATTATAGAAAAGCTTATTATATATAAAAAGGAGACGCTTATTTCTACAACTGGTACCATCATGTCCTATGCTAGTGTTGATGGTTTCTGCGGTTGCTGCCGATGCTAGTGTTGATTTATTATGAGAGAAAAACACCGTTCCTTGTCTAAAAAGTAGCGATGATTCCTTAGTTTTTCCTGCTTTGAAATCTGAATTCCTCCATTTTGGTCATGGCACAACAGGTCAACTTCATAATGCCTTAACCATGGACATGAAGTGCTCACACCATGTTGCAGCGTATAAATTTTTTGCGGTCTCATACCAGAACTAATTTTGTTTCTAGCGAAAATTACATGTATAGCGACCTCCATGTTCTGCTCAGAGCGTCACAGTTACAATTAGCAATTGCGAGGACAAATGTAGTACAGGAAGAAAGAATAGTTCTCTTCTTGCCAGGTCATAAATGCCTGCACCCACATTTTCTTCGAACATCAGCGTTGCCACTGACTGTTCTCTTCTTCCATCCTGATTCCTGTAGGATACTGCTATGCGAGGCTCCAAAGAGCAACGATCTGTCAGACGAAAAGGAGAAGAGGAGATGTGGAGAGCAGAAAGAGACGGCATGCATCCAAAACTTTTTTTTTTGTTCTTGTAATCTCCAGGAAGGACTGAGACATGACATGGAAGTAAACAGAGGGCCTATCCATAAAATGGCTTTGCTTTCATTCCAAAGTCCAATACAAGTCTTTGGAGAATTGGCACAGGGGAGAGAGAGAGAGAGAGACAGGGCAGTGCTTGAGAGAGAGAGAGAAGGGGAGACCCATTACCAATGCCAAGAACAAGAAACCAGAGAGGACAGCGGCGAATCCAATCCGAATCCCCTCCAAAAACCCACCAAACTGCCTCCCCCATCTGCAAGAACAAGAGCAGCAGGAGAGCATCCTAGTAGGGGGAAAAAATAGGAGAAAAAAGAAGCCCAGAGAGACCAGCTGACCAAGCAAAAAGGTAGCATCTTTGTGTCACCAAGACACCGCCGATCACAGACCAAATCCCCTCTCCTCTGGTCCATCCCAAGCGTAGAGCCGCCAAGATTTCTTCGATCTGTGCTTGCGTTTTTCTCTTGTAAAGATTTGGTTTTTCCTTTGACTGTTACTAGCCTTGGGTTGTTGAGAAGTTTCGAGAAGAGTGGTGTGAGTGTTGAAGAGCTCAAGATGGATCCGGCCTTGCTTGACGACGTCATACGCCGGCTTCTGGAGGTGAAGAATCTCAAGCCCGGGAAGAACGCGCAGCTGTCGGAGTCGGAGATTAAGCAGCTCTGCGCTGCCGCCAAGGAGATCTTCCTTTCGCAGCCCAACCTGCTGGAGCTCGAGGCCCCCATCAAAATCTGCGGTATCCCCCTTCTCCCGTGGCTCCTGAGCAATTTCTTCATGTCGGTAGCACCCAAGATGACATCTTGGGGACTGCTTTGGTTGGTCAACGGGGTATCGCGCTGTTTGGTCTTGTGCCTTTTTGGGTCTTGCTGATGTCCTGAGCCCGATCTTGTGATTAAAAGTATCCATTCCCAATCCTCTTTTTGACTGTCGTCATGGCTTGAAGAATCGATTGAGGACTGGAATATAGGTGTACATATGTTGGTAGCTGTTTCCTGTTTGTAGTGATTAGGTATACTTGGAATAGAAACTCTCTGATTCTATTTGCCGAAAGAAAGCTGCTAGTTTTTTTTACCATCGATCTGATGGTCCTATTATAGATTTTGCGCATACCGTCAACTAGTGATGCTAAATCTTGAGGTATCAATGCTTTGGGTTACTAGTAAATCATTACTGCGCTTGCATGATTGAATGGCAATATCAAAACCACATTTCAGATGTTCCAGAAATGCAGCACATCTTCAATCTTTCAGAGGGCTCCTGCTATTTGTAGAAGGATGATAATGTTATACGACATGGTTGCGGTCAGGATATTTTGTGAAAATGTTAAAGTGAACAACATAGATGCGTATAACCATGCATCCTATGAGAAATGAAAGCAGTATACTTAAATGAAAGTTCACTAAGCATACTATGTAAACTGGATGATTATCATCACTGTCTTGTATGGAAGTCTTGAATGTTTAGTTTGTATGTATTGCTGACAAAAATGCACACAAAGGCCTCTATCTGAGTTGGTTTGGTAGCTTGAGTAGCACTCCTCAGCCTGGGTTCGGCTCCTCGTGGGAGCGAATTTTTAGGCTGGGGTTAAAAAATCTCCTCGTCTCTCCCAACCAAAGCACAGGTCTAAGGTCCGGCCCCTGTCGTGGTTGTTCACTTGTTCTCACATGGGCTACGGTGCCGCTGTGTATAGGTGGGGTTGCGCAGGTCGAGTTTTTTATAACCCTTGACTGTGTTATATTTCTGAGAAAGCACATCTACTTTATCATGCTTATAGGTTTTCATGCTGTGGCATAAATTGTATGTGATGAACTCTGGCTCTGCTGTTGTGCAGATCTTTAGGTCATACAAACAATGATAATACTTCCTTTCATGTTAGATAAAAGTAAATCCTTCAGTTAATAAATTGTCAGATAAAAAGAATCTAACACTATTTGAGTACCTGTAATGATATATGTAAAGATTTTGGTTAATATGAGTATGAGTTACCCTGAAATGTCTTTAGTGGAGCTTCCTGACAAATATCGATCTCACATATTTTCTTCTGATCAGGTGATGTCCATGGGCAGTACTCTGATCTCCTGAGGCTATTTGATTATGGTGGCTATCCGCCTCAGGCCAACTACCTTTTCTTGGGTGATTATGTGGATCGCGGAAAGCAAAGCCTGGAAACAATATGTCTTCTTTTGGCCTACAAGGTCAAGTACCCGGAGAACTTCTTTCTTCTAAGGGGCAACCATGAATGCGCATCAGTAAATCGCATCTATGGTTTTTATGATGAGTGCAAACGCAGATTCAGTGTAAAGCTCTGGAAAACATTCACAGACTGTTTTAACTGCTTGCCAGTGTCAGCATTGATAGATGAAAAGATTCTGTGTATGCATGGCGGTCTATCTCCAGAGTTGAACAAGCTTGAGCAAATACTCAACCTGAATCGCCCCACAGACGTACCTGATACTGGATTGCTCTGTGATCTTCTTTGGTCAGATCCTTCCAATGAAGCAACAGGCTGGGCCATGAATGATCGAGGTGTTTCATTCACATTTGGTCCTGATAAAGTTAATGAATTCCTTGAGAAGCATGATTTGGACCTCATCTGCCGAGCTCATCAGGTTGCTGTGTTCTTAAAGACGTGACCTACATATTCCCTTATAAACTAAGTGTATCAATCGTTTACTTATGCTTTTGCATTGTTGGAATCCAGGTTGTCGAAGATGGATATGAGTTTTTCGCTAACCGCCAACTCGTAACAATATTCTCAGCCCCTAACTACTGTGGAGAATTCGATAACGCTGGTGCCATGATGAGTGTAGATGAGACATTGATGTGCTCCTTCCAAATACTGAAGCCTGCAAGGAAGATGCTGAGTGGTTCAACTAATAACAAATCTGGCTTCAAGGTATGCATGATTAACATGGAAGCAGTTTATATCTGTCAAATAAGCACAATTTGTTGCCCTACAAAATTGTTTGGTCCCTACCCTCTGGATATGAGTAGTGTTCTTAATTTTCAAAAGCATTATAACTTGATAGTGTGGCATGCTAGTGTTACTGTTTGCTTTGAAATGATGTAGCCATTTAATATCTGAATGCATGATTATTCAAAAGAATTTCTCAGTCTGGATGCCAAACCTTTCACCAGAACTCCTGCACCTGTCAGGTCTTCTTTCTTTCGTTGTAACAATTGCATCATTACTAATATTTTGTCTGCAAAACTCAGTTTTGATGTGAATGCGAGAAAGTTCTCGTACTAGAACTTGAATTCTTAATGGTACTTCCAAGTTGACTCGACTGGATGTCACGGTGATTTATAGGCATTTGTTGAGCCTATCTCTTGCAGTCACCTATTATATCAGCAAATGGCTGCAAATTCCTTTACTATACGCTTGGCATAGGAATATGAAGTTTATCTTCTTTCACATTGTATTGTATTCTGTGCCATGCGAAAATATGTGCCAAGTTGCATGGCAAATTATATTGCTTTGGAATATATTTGGGCAGGTTTCAATTTCTCCCACCATATTTATTTTCTAGGTTCATGCTGCAGAAGTGCATGTCATTGTCATTCAGTGCATAGTTGGTTTTGACAGTGACCTTTCCTACAATCAACGCATACTAACAGTTGAACCCGTATTTCAAGTTGACCTATCTTGTTCTGTTCCCCACTGAGTATGGCACAACAAGAATATGACAGATGGTTAGCTGAAGTAGAAGGCTTATTTTCTAACTCTATATGAGATATGAGGATGCAAGGAATTAGGTTTACATCCTTGAATAGTTGGATGAACTATCCATACACGTTGGGTTTTCAAACAGAAATGGGCAAGTCACCTAGCTCTGGCCCTCTGCTACATTTACAGTTTAACATGGTATCATACTTAATTGGGATGGCTAACCTGGATTTTAAATTTTATCAGACACTTAGGAAAAATAATTCAAACTATTTGTTTGCTAACTCTATATGAGATATGAGGATGTAAGGAATTAGCTATACATCCTCGAATAATTGGATGAACTGTCCATAAACAAAAGGTTTTCAAACAGAAATGAGAAACTCACCTAGCTTTTGCCCTCGTACTTAATTGGGATGGGTAACCTGGATTTTAAATTTTATCAGGAACTTAGGAAAAATAATTCAAAATCATCTGGACTATTGAGTGACATTGTGATACACCTATATATAGTTGACACCAGCATCTAAATTGAACTCAATCTCATCTTTTTACTCTTTGTTTACAGTCATTGAGAGGATGGTGACAATGGCCTGATGGTGAGCGCGCTGCGAGCGACAGGGGTACATCTTACAGCAGCTGCAACTAACAGGCATATGCATTTTCGCGGAAACCTCATGGGCCTGGAAAGGCAAAGCAGATGTAGAACTATGCATCTTCCTTGTTGGATTAACATTCTTGTAATGCATTATTATTGGTTTTTACTGTGCGGATCTCCTATGATACGAGAGGATGTGAACGAGTACTGCCCCCTTTGCGTCCTAAAATTCGAAAGATTCAACCAGGCATGCGCCAATAAAAAATAGCCAGATCATTTGAGCCGAGTTTCCATCCGGTGGGCATGGTGGGTGATGACAACAGCTAGCACCATTTCCTTATGGTTTCTGAAATTATTGATTATTATTCTCCTTTCCCCCCGTTTTGGTGGTTGAGCTCTCCATGATTTTTTGGTTTGAGCTTCTGGCAGGAACATACAAGATCATCCACGATGCAGCACGGCATTTCCAGTCGTTTTTTTTTGTTGTCTAGTTCTAAAAATATATATATCCAGCAGACCAGCACGTAAGCTTGCCTAGGAAAATCAGTCACGTAGCAATGGTTTGTGTTGCTATGGCATCATAAAGCATGGCTGTGTTATGTTGTGTCCAAGGAAAGACTTCAGTCATAGCTACTATGGTAGAATTCGACGGCCATGTTGTTCCTCTGATGCATCGGGATCAGGTACTTATCTCGTCTCATCTTGTGCCAAATATGGTCGCAGCCATGTCGTTGCGACATGTGTGATGTACTACTCCTGTGAGTGGATGAGCTGGAAGAAGAGAAATCTGAGTCTCACACAGCAACCAACGGCAGCAGCATCCGATTCCTTGGCCGTCGTCGTGCGTGGCGTCTACGACATGCACATGCCGCACTAGGCGACCTGATTCCATGGACGCTGACGCTGCCTGAAGAAAATAGGGGTTGCAGTTTTCTCCTCGTTGAATTGCCCATCAAAATTCAGACACATCCACATCAACACCAACAAATAACAAACCGTGGCAATTTTGTGCCAAGAGTCGGTAGGATCCATCCAAGAGATGCTCAGGCCATCTATCCATGCATACACGCATCATTGACCAATTTCTACAAACTCCTGGATTTCTTCCATTGACAGTTAAAAGGTGTATACATCGGCCTAATCACAGCCTGACCAAATTGCATCAGATATTTACCAGCCAAAGCTGAATCTCTATGGCCATGTTCGCTTGTCTTATTAGCGGTACTATTTCAGCAAATGAACAGTGTTTTTCTCTCACAACGAATCAGCGAACAATACTTTCAGCCATGGCTTTTCAGCAAAAGAGAACAGTGTATGTACTAGCACCATATATGGCATGTCACTCGTGTGTACATCATCGACAAGAACAAGAGGGGAAAAACGAAGTTTAATCTATCTATGTAAAGCCTAAACTCCTCCCAAATTAACAACGAATCAATTGGAGTCCAAGGCAATCTATGTCCTCAGTGGTAGTAGCGACAGCTCTATACTGCTATCTATCAGCATCTCAACTCTCAAATCCTCAACTCTATAGCAATCGCTAAGCGTAGCTAGCATGATAAGATCAGCAACTCAAGGGTCAATTGTGGCGATCGGCAAGTCGCTTTGGCCGGGAATGGCGCCAGCAGCACAGCGATGATCCATCACCTTGGGGCGATGGAGATGGAGATGTCGGTGGGGACATTGAACTTGGCGGCCCACTCCTGCGCCTCCAGGAAGAGCTTGGACACCTTGGCGGCCACCCACGCCATCTCCTGCCGCGCCAGGGGGTCCTTGGCGACGCAGCGCAGCGCCAGCGTGGTGAGCAACTCCGCCGCGTCGACGGGGAACGAGTCCCTGAGCCTCCGGTCCACCCACCGCCGCATCCCCTCCCCGCCCCCCTCCGCGACGGCGGCCGCCGCGGTGTCGATCAGCGACGTCCTCTCGTACTCGCCCGTGCCCCGGTTCACCAGCTCGTACCGCACCGGCTCCTGCCCGGACACCAGCTCCAGCAGCACGACGCCGAGCGCGAACACGTCGGAGCGCCGCGACGGCGGGCCGCCCGCCACGAGCTCCGGCGCCATGTACCCGCGCGTGCCCTCGATCCGCCTCCCCCGGCTGCTGGTGCGCCGGTGGCCGCCCGAGGAGGAGGAGGAGCCCTTGGACCCTCCTCCGTCGTCGTCCTTGTGCTCGACCGGGAGCTCGCCGGCGAGGTCGGCAGCGCCGAAATGCGCGATCTTGGCGCGGGGGAGGGGCCCGTCGCCGCAGACGAGGACGGATGACGCGGAGAGGCGGTTGTGGATGGTGTCGGCCTGGAGGTGGACGTAGTAGAGCGCGTCGCAGACGTCGGCGGCGAGCTGGAGGCGCGAGTGCCAGGACGCGAGCGGGGTGAAGGACGGGTTCTTGGGGTTCCGGAGCAGCACGGACAGCGGGGACGCGTCGGGGACGAGCTCGTAGGCGAGGAACAGAGTGGTGCGGTCGGGGGACGCGGCGGCGCCGAGGAGGCGCGCGATGGCGGCGTGGTGGCAGTGGCCCAGCACGGCGAGGCGCGCGGCCACGTCCCGCGCGTCGCGGCGGAGCGGGCGGCGGAAGACGGCGGCTGGCTGGCCGCGGAGCGCGCAGCGGAAGGAGTTGGAGGAGGAAGGCGCGGTGGGGACGAGGCGGTGCGCGGCGGAGAAGTTGGCAGTGGCGGCGGCGAGGTCGTGGAAGGTGAAGAGGAGGGGCAGCTCCGGGAGGGAGTCGCGGAGCGCGGCGAGGGACGCCGCGGAGGACGCCGTGGTGGAGGAGGAGGTGGAGTAGGACGACACCGCCGGGAAGGAGGTCGCGGTCGTGCGCGGCGAGCGGTGGTGCCGCGGCGTGGATGCCGCGGCCGCCATGGCGGAGGAGGACGTGGAGGTGGCGGTGGCGGTGGCCCTCTTGGATTTGCACATCCGATTCGGCTTGCTGGGCTTGGGGCCGACCATGTGAGGCGGCCGATCGGGACAACCACCCGCCAACCATTTGTACTAGTACCGCGTCGTGTCGCGCTCGTGAGGCCCAGGCGTGGTGTCGATACAGGGAAGAAAGCTTGGTCCTTTTTTTCTCTCCCTCCCTTTTGCCGGCGTGCGTGAACTGGAAAATCTGGAATGGACGGATGGATAAGGAAGAGGGGCAACGGAGAAGATGATTGGCGTTGGATTGGTCAGGTCAAAGCCAGGTCAAATATCCTACTAGTCGTTAGGCTAGTCCTAATTCTGTCCTCCTCCAGTTCTACTTGATGATGATCACATGCTTTGTCAATTCTCACGTATACACTATGGTTGAAAACAATACAATTCTAGATTTGATCTGAGTAAAACTATTATAAATTCAAATAATTTATAGAAAACATTACCAGCACTTCAAATAGTGACTTTTTAGAAAGTACTTATTAGTGATTTTTTCAGAAGTGCTCTGCCTGTTTATTTGTTCATATGCAACAATGAGATTATGAGAGCACGTACTCTACCATTACACATTTCTGTACTAACCGTACGGCAGTCATTATGCAGCGCAACTGGTCTGGAGTACCAGATGCAGCCATCAACTCAACAAGAGGAAAAATATAAAAAAAAAAGAGCCTTTTTTCAAGATGCCAGCTGCTTGCGTCGGTACTTTTGCCCCTTTCTTTCCTCTCTTTTTCACCTCCGGTGATGGATCGACGGTCAGATCATCATAAAGCCACGTTATTCTTTAGATCTCAAAGGGTACGTTTAGCGTCCAAACATCTTTTTATGCACGCATGGTGCTCGTGAATAAAGTAAATAGGTTTCCTGGTTCATTAGGTCCCCCAGTAATACAGCTTCCTTCCTATTTGATTTAGTCCTCCAGAAAATTGATGATCAAAAGTTAGGGCCTTGTTTAGATTCCAAGTTTTTTCACTCTCTCTCCATCACATCAAATCTTTAGACACATGCATGGAGTATTAAATGTAGATAAAAAAAAAGAACAAAGTTTAATTGTAAATTGATTTAATCTTTTGAGCCTAGAAAATTGAACAATAATTGTCAAATAACGAAAGCTACAACAGTTAGAATCACTCCGATTCCTAATTTGAACTAAAAGGCCTAGAAATACTTTAACTTAGAACAAAGCTAATACGACATGTAAAAAGAACAAAGGGAGTGTGTCTTACTAGAAAATTAAGCAAGTTAACAGCTGTATAGTGTCTCCATTTCAAATTATAAAACGTTTTGACTTTTCTAAATACCGAGTTTTTGTTATGTACTTAGATACACGCTATATTTATACATAGTAAAACAATGTATATTTAAAAAGTCCAATCGTCTTATAACTTTAGAATGGAAAATCTGATTAGCGAGGGACAAGTTAATCTCTTGCTACACTCTTTATTTGGTCCTAGAATTGTTTGAATGCTTTGTATTTCAGTGTGGAGGGAGTAT